CTGGTTTTGTGAGCGCTTCCGGTCGGAAATTGGCACCTGTTTCTGAGACTGCTCTGGAAAAAGCGAAGAACCTGATTCTGGTAGACGAGATGCCTGATGTGAGCACTTCGGAAGTTTGTGATCGAGTAAGGACGACCGAGTCAGTTTCTGGTTTTGTGAGCGCTTCCGGTCGGAAATTGGCACCTGTTTCTGAGACTGCTCTGGAAAAAGCGAAGAACCTGATTCTGGTAGACGAGATGCCTGATGTGAGCACTTCGGAAGTTTGTGATCGAGTTAGGACGACTGGCCCAGTTTCTGGTCGGAATTGCACAGCTGTTTCTGAGAACGATTTCAAGAAAGCTGAGACTTTAAACGGGGTATGTGAAATGTTTGGTGAAAACAAGGCGGTCGTATCCAATGCTTCTTTAGTTTCTGATCAACAGGGGGCTGTTCAGGAATTTGTTCAACTCTCTGCATGTATTGACGAGAATGATTCAACTGCAGGCTGTGAGACGGATGGTGATTCTTTGGTCTGTCTAATGGAAGAAACACAGTTTCGTGAAACAGTTCATGCAATGTTGCAGAACCACGGACTCCAGCCAACAGATCCTTTGTAAGTTTTATGCAATATATATACACTATGCGAGTAACAAATGTGATTGAGGTCGGGGTGTTGTGCGAGTTCGATGAATACCTGTATAACATTGGCGTAATAAAGGAAAATTTTAGACTCGCAACTTAATTTAGTTTGTATTTGTGTAACTTGTGTAAGCTTATATGCTTACATTTCAGTTAAATGTACACTGTTCGTCAGGCGGAATGAACTAATAATAATAATGAAGTGAAATATAACATGCTGATATTTGTTTCATGCACTAAACTTTTGAGGTAGTTCATTTACGACCTGTTCCTTTTTGGTTAGATATCGGGCCAGGTAAGATACAGGGGAATTTTTATGAATATTAATGCGAGAGGGCAGATGCCGAAATCAGCAGTATGTGAACGGATGGGAACAAGATAAATCAGGGTGCAGTGCACCAAGAGGGTCATCTAGAATCTTATTGGCAAATTTAACATAAAAGTTGATGCGACCATCAATAAGTTCTGTGATTGATGAATCGATCGGAGTTAATGATGCACGACTGATGGTCTTTAAACCACGGCGAATGCATTTGAAGTCTTGTTTTTAAGACATGTATATTGCAATAGACACACATGGTCACATTAATGGTTCTATTTAGGTCATGTTGACTCGCTTATCCCCGCTGAACCGCCCCAATCCTCAACGAACTGACGTGTTTGTATTGACTGTTGACTTATGATCTTGAGTGAATTAAGCAAGGTTCATTTCAGATCACAAAATATTCCCATTGTTCTGTCAGAGAAGTCGGAAAGTGGCGAGGAAAGATCTGTTTTTTCGTACTTCTCATCAGGCCAATACAGTACACACAATCGAACACCTATAGGCACAAAACAGAGCATGATAATCCGGAGTGTAAGTACTCATACACTTATTTTGATGATTGATGTCGAAGACTGTGTCCGGATGAACCAGTCAAGGATGAGTCACACTGATGTGTCTCATCCATCCGGACACAGTCTTCGACATCAATCATCAAAATAAGTGTATGAGTACTTACACTCCGGATTATCATGCTCTGTTTTGTGCCTATAGGTGTTCGATTGTGTGTACTGTATTGGCCTGATGAGAAGTACCGAAAAAACAGATCTTTCTTTGCCACTTTCAGACTTCTCTGAAACTTCACTTCATTGTGTTGTGCAGGGAGTAGTAGTACTTCTGATGCACAAGTCCAGCGTCTCCCATTTTATGGAGCAACACTGTACAAATGATGGCCTGTATGACACACCAGTTATTCTCCGTTAGTCGACTTTCTGTTCGATTAGTAACGCTTTAAAAAGCACAAAAAGAAAATTGTGGCATTAGTGTTTTGGGTGTGGAAACTTTAGTTTTGAGAACACACACGCTCAACTTCGAGTAGTTGTTTTCAATTATTATTACTTTATCCGTTTTCATAGTTTCCATAAAAGGATTCTTGTTGTAACATTCAAGTCGGAATATGCATATAATATGCTGAGGCAGCTACTCAGCCGATTTTCTTAATTATGAGGGGGTGGTGAGGAATTTGTGGCCTGTGAGAAAATTTACGAACTATATTATTAAAATAGGTTTAATCTGAATTTAAATGCGATAGACGTCTTTGTGATGACCAATAAAGAGCACTGGACATCTGTGCCTGAGTCAAAACCCAATGGACTAATCCGAACATTCACCGTCTGGAGTGGCTGAACCATTCACACATGAATATGACCGTCAGCCGTGTAGCTCATGGACAAGGGTTTGAAGTCACGACCCGAAGATTCGCAGTTCGAGTCCTGACAGCGACACAAGAAGTACGCACTGTTGACGAGTCCCAAACAGGATGAAACAGTTGTCCTGTGCTCTTTGTCGGTCATCAAAAACAGTTCCATCGAATTTAAATACATTTACCTCGTGAGGAAATAACGATACCTTAAGGAGTGAAACCCATACCGAACATCATCAACAGTACCTGATGCCTGTGTCAAAAAAAACCGAATGGGCTAATCCAAACATTTAAGGTCTAGGTTTGAACTGTACCGCAAAAGTTCTTTACTCTCGTTAACAAAGAATACCTAGAGAATGGTGTTGGATATTAAAATCAGTTTTCGACGAACGATTCACATAATTTGCAATATTCGTTGCCTTCATGAAAAAGTGAGAGTTTCCTAGTGTTCTTCGGTTTTCCATCTATTTCATTCGCATATAAATTTTTTTTGACTGAAACCAGTTGCATCTAGTTATTGTTCTTCTTGTTCTCTGTAATCTGCTTCCTTGTCTGTTTCCTTACTTGTTCCCAAATTCCCCTTTCCCCGTTTTTTTATTATCTGGTTGGTGCCGTGTTTTTTTCTCAACCCGGTGTTCAGTTATGCCTAGTTTTAATGTATTATCTATTATGCACAAGATAAAATAAGATAAGCCAAGATTCGGTCTCAAAGCGGTCAGCAGATAGAATTTTAAATCATTGTCATGGGCTCCTAAACGATTGGGCTGTACCAGAGACAGAAACCATTCATAACAAAAGTGCCAGCACTTCATCTGGGTTAGTTCGAATGTCAGTGGGAGTGTGTCGAGATGTATGCCATGCTTTTCGTATCGCTTTTAGGATGACGTGAAAATTGGTCATCATACTAGGAAAGAATTCGTGCAACAGCCAACAAAGATCACTGTCTAAGTTTTTTTGTTTGTTCCTCTTGATATTTTTCGTCAGAGTGTATTGTTTTCTTTTCTCGTCCGTTTCGAGACCCAATCCATGAACCATGAGGAGTCGTGAACTTTACGCACGAATTACACGGTTGATGACTAACCTATTGTGTGCATGACTACCTAAATTGTTCTCATTAGTTCCGTGCAAATTTCTACCTCTTTGAGTCTATATTGTTGCTCTTGTGTTTGGGTCCAACTTCTTGGTCGGTTCATTTGTTCCCTACGGATTCAGAAAATTTTACTTATGAAAAAGTTCACTGTAATGGTAGCAAAGCGCACTGAACGGCCGTTTGATCTTTAGTGAACCTGGCCAGTAATGCGAGATAAAACTAGAAGTGAATTGTTTCACGCTTTCGATCAGTTCATTTAAGGATCTAGTTGTAGCATCTTTGTGTTTTCTTACGGTCAGCTTTTAGCGAGAGCAGTGTTCTTTCTCTGTTTCTGGACTCGGAATTTAGTCTGTGAGTTGAATTTGATTGCATTCTACCCGTACAAATCATTTCAGACTATTGTATTCCACGTTTATTCAACTTTGTTGCTGGAAATTCACGTGACATTCAGCGATGACATATATGCATTGGTTCAAGTCAATAGGGGCGGGGATGGGGGNNCCCCCACCCACCCATCATGAATGGTTGGAACCAATGCATTTGTGAATACCGGAATATGAGCAACACCCGGTCGTGAGTATTTATTTTCCCACTTTCTCATAATTCCTCCCTTCGACTAAACATTTTGATAGACATTGTGATGTATTAGCCTGTAGATGAATGACCGCAAACAAGCTTGTTTGGTACTGTGTCTTAGGTAAAAAGGCTATTTTTACCTAAAACTGACTATTTTTCGAGTATCTGCAATTCGGAGCATCTCCAATCAATACCAATCTCGCGGAGAATAATCATATCGCGTCATACGGAGATATTCACTCCGTCCGTCCGATCCGTGACATGTGATCGATCGAACTTTGCTAACTGTGTACTTGATTGGCATAATCTTTTTCTTGCATTAATCGATGCTATTTTGGGTCCCATATAAGCATCAGAGTGAAACTTGTAAATTGATTTGCTTCCTGTGTGTCAAGTACACGTTCGCTGTGCACTAACTGTGTTCTTGCTTATGTAGCTAGGAGAAGGCTACTAGTGCTCGTGGCGTCCAATCTGTGCTGTAATCGTACTCGTGAGGCTAGACGATTAGTGTGGCCGTTGAGGTACGTGTGTTCCTCGTGTGTCATCGTGTGATATCATGTTGTGTGTACATTGTGATCAAACGAGATCCGGACACAACAATGTGTAATGATGGTTTATTCGGATGATGACAGATATGTTCATTGAAATGCATTAGTATGACCATCGAGAAATACGTTCTACTCCTGCCATATGTTTATTTATCGTTTTTGATTTGGTATCGTAATTATTAATGTCTTTGTGCACTGCCAGTCAAATATGCTTGCATAAAAAGAATCTTGGTTTACAAAAAGAGTTTCTGACCGACAGTCGGTCACCGTGAACATGTACTTCTTTTAGATTACGGTGACTGTATTCGTAACTGACAGGTTTATCTAATTCTTGATCAATATGTCAAACAACAGACTGGAAGCCAAGCGCCTTCAAGCGCGTCTTGAGCAACAAGAGACCATCTCCCGGAAGCTGCGTCTATCATCACCTTCGAGGCGAAAATCGAACATTCCAAATGATACTTTCTCCCTTCACTGTCCCGGTCTTTTGTGGCGCGTACGTTTATCCAAAAGGCAATTGACAAAAATTAGTCCCACGGCGGTCAATGATCGTGCTTGTGGACCATGGTTGTACTCTTTGCAATCTCTCGTGAGAAAACCAGACCACGGACCGGCTAAGAGTGAATTCCAATTGCCTGATTCGGTTCACTTTCCTGCTGACTTTTCTACGTTTTCACTTCGAACATCCGCCACAATCCGATGGCTCTTGGACGAACCCAATCTGCCAGTTGGGGAGCCACCAATTGCTTACGAAATTGGAGATGCGGTTCAAGTGATTCCTGATGGATTTGGTTGCGCAGGCAAGACAGAACTGATCAAGTAAGCAGTGCTTGATCGTTCCATGGTCTAGTTTGTCTCGTGTGAACCATACTGAATACCTGGGTTCCGAAAGACCATATATCTTTTTCATTTCACAAGCACTGAATTGGTCAACCCGACAGTAGGCGAGTGTTTTAGTACCAGTTTTCCATCCTGGCATTCACTCCAAAACGAAAAATCCACAAATTTGTGATTGCCCTTCATATCCGCTTTCATCGGCTTGGTAGGGTCACAGTATCGAAACTCGCCATGGCAGGGTCTTCTGTGATTCACCACCCCAAGTCCC